CAGCATGGACAGACGGGAGGGAGAAGCCATGGCTCTCCAGCATTCCCGTCTTCAGACGCCATCTCTGGAGAAGGCTGTCTTATGGAAGTTGTTTTCAGAACTTTTTTCTAAAGGATGACTTTAGAAACATCATTATGCTATTGGGACATATAATTTAAAGGTTGTTTTTATCTTTTAAAAGGTTATAATTGGGAGAAATTTGGAAAATAGAAAACAGTATAAAGAAAACCTGGAATTTTTCCCATTTTTCTTCTACTTAAAACTATTTCAAGTCATTCTATTATAGTGTTATTTAATATATAAATCATATTGCTATATATAAAATAAAGTATGGGTTCATTTTAGAGAAAAATAAAGCCCTTGGTCTTTTATTAATACTTCTATTTCTTTTTCAGTGCATTGGGTTGTTGTGTTTTTGTTTTGTTTTTATTTACCTAACATATTATATTAATGTTTTACTTAGTTTTTTTTTTTTTTAAGATGGCCTCATGTAGCCCACACTGACCTCAAACTTCATATGTAGCCAAGAATGACCTTGGATTCTAATTCTCCTATAATGTTGGGATTACAGGGATTACCAAATTCACGTGGTGCTTGGGATTGAAACCAGGGCTTGATACATGGTAGGAAAGTACCCTACCAATTGGGCTACATCACCAGCCCAAGCCAGATGATCAGAATTCCAAGGTCATCCTCCCCTACAGAGGGTTGTTGAGGCTAACCTGGCATGTTGAAAACAGGAAAAATATCTGTTGAAGTATATAGATGGACTAGCTTTTACTTCCCAGGTTTCTGGCCTGCCACTTTGGGTGCTGGAATCATCAGTAAGCCTAGGTAAGGGCTAAGGTGGTGACCCCTGTCTCCTATGGGACGGGCCTTTGCCTCTAGTCAGCTGGACTTGTAAGCAAATGTCTTTTGTGAGGACCATAGCCCTGGGTGGGGCATCTGTTCCTACCGATGGGAGGGACCTCTAGGACCTGTCTGTTGAACAGAGTCCCAAACTCCACCCCTCCCCTAACTCTGCTCTGCCCCCTAATTTAATGCTGCCAGAGAAAGTGATCTGAACAGCAGGTCTAAAAGGAAGGGACCCCTACTGTAGTAGACCCTGGGGGAATTTGCCTAAATCTTATCACTTACCTTCTCATTCTTCCTGGGAATTTGTGACTGTTTACCCAATTGTCTCTTCCCTAGGGACTTAGGGGCCAGGGAGAAGAGATCTCAAGCACCAAAGAGGTAGGATGGAAATCCCACCCACGTTGTAGAAGCTTCTAGAAGCCGTCTGCTCAGCAGAGAGAACTGAGACCTCATCAGACTGTCTCAAAGACTTACTAGGTTATCAGTAAAATCCTAACGCTGCAGCGAATGAGTTTAGCACCAGGCGGTGCTGGCTTCAGCAGCTGTCCAAAGAGCTGCTGGGTTGGAGCCCTCATCAACATGTAAACAGGGATGTCTGGGTGCCTTTAAAATCAGTCCTGCTCCCTTCAGGCCAGCGCAGGCCTTCCTGCTCATGACGGAGAGAGAGAAGTCAGGTTCTGGTAGGAAGAGCGAGACCTTAAGAGAGACCTCAGGCTGCCTGGCAGCAGGGAGGGGACACATGCTTGCCCCACAAACCCACTGTCTGTCTCTCAGTGACTCCCCTCTCTGGCCTGCTGTGTACAGTAAGCAAGGGTGAGACCCACTGAGGCTTCTATGTGCTGCCTCCCACGCTGAGGACTGGAAGAGTCTTCCCGGAGTTTTCACAACTGTCAAGAGCATGTCCTACAACCCCACTCAAAACAATGGCTCTTCCTCGAGGTTCCTAAAGTTGTAAGGTCATGTGGTGTATCTGTGGGCTAGAGTGACCCTGGAAAAGTCCTTGGAATGAGAAACCTATTGCCAAGGCCAGGCTGAGGCCCCTGGGCAAGTTTAGAAAGGTCAGGGCCTGTTGCCATGGAAGGTCTGAGATCCCTGCATTAGCAGAATTTGATAGGAACTAAATAAAATAGGAGAAAGAGCCCATTGCACCTTCATGTAGTTAGTTCAACTAAAAAACAGGGAGTCGCTTCTGTTATTTAAAAAAAAATAAAATTCCATCATATTCAGGCCCGTTATTTCTATCCTCCGCAAGACCAGAGTCACATTCTCAATCTTCACATCGAAACTTGAACCCACACTCAGGCAGCCCTGAGATCTTCCACAGCTTCTAAAGACAAAATGCTTGGGCTGTGTGCATCTTCATTTTCTTAAAGACCTCAAATTGATCCCCAGGTGCGAATGGATGAATGTCTCCAAGTCCATATTTCTTTCTTTCTGATTCAAGCAGTTTAACCATGGAGAAAACTCCATCTTTAAAATGTATTAAGAAATAGTTCAGATATGCAGGAAAGTGTTTGTGATGTGAAACAAATGCCTTTGAACTCATGATTCAAAGTAAGAAGAGACAAACAGCAGAGATGAAGTCCTCTAGACTTCTCCAGGCCCCAGAGAACCACTGTCTTGAATCTGACGTTGTTCCCATGCCCATGGTTGGTTTTTCATGTTCCAAGTTTCACATGAAACTCCCTGTGGTCATATGCACTTATTTGCAGTTCTTCTTTTTTTTACTTTTTAAATTCTAATTTGTTATTTTACTTTAGTATATCCTTGTTATTTTTACTGTGTATAGAGAAATATTATTGGCTTTTATTTTTTCTCTCTATTGAAACTAGATTTTTTTCCCCTCACATACTGTATACTGATTACATTGTTCCCTTCCTCTGCTTCTCCCAGTTCCTCCCCACCCTCCACCATCCGGCTCACTCCTTTTCTGTCTCTCATTAGAAAACAATCAGGCATATTGCTCTTTACTTAACTCTTACTTAAACTTTATTAACTGTCGCTGAAGTGTCTACAGAGGCTTATACCAACTTAAATACCCGCTGTCAATGTACAAAACTTCATAATGGTTCTTGTTATTTGCTCTGTGACATCATCCTGGTAGCGTTGGAGCATAATTTTTCTACTTGTTACGAGGTGCACTCTTTAGCTGCTGTTTGCATTTCCAGTTATTAGTGCGGCAGGGCCGGCTTATTGGCTGGTCTCCATTCGGCTCTCCCAACAACTCTTCTGTCTTTTGGTCACTCTTGTACCAGGAGGCCCTGCCACGGTTCCTCATCACCTCTTAGGAACCCTCAATGCGTTCTGAATGCTAACTCTTGGGAAGGTGCACTGCAGATACACACACACACACACACACACACACACACACACACACACACACACTCCTTGTTCTTTGCTGATGGTGGAACTTCGCTGCAGAACTGTTGGTCACGTTCATACAGCCTCTTACATTTCTCCAGCAGTTTGTTGTGGGGAGCTTGTCTCAAGAAATTGTCTCCTACCTCAGCCCAGAAGGCTGTTCCTCAGAGTTTTCACAGGAAACCTCCAAGATCTACATTGCATATTTAACTCCTTAAGTGTTTCAGGGTTGAGTTTTCTGCCTTGTAGGAGCTCCAGTCCATTCTCTTTCATTTGCGAAAGTGTGGTCCTAATGCCATCCATTGAGTGACCCTCCTCTTCATCACTGGCCATGCAAAGACAGTCCATTAGCTACTGAGTACTCAGTACTGAGTACTGAGATCCTGCCTTTCCCATTGGTCTGCTTGACACCCCAGGATGAAAGACGTGCTGCCTTTATCACTGAAGTTTTACAGAGGTCATCAGAACAAAATCTGCCACCTCATTATTCAGACTGACTTTGGCCAATTTTAGAATTTCTTTATTCTTTTTCCCTTCCTCAACTTTGTCCTGACTGGGTATAAACAATAAAATGCCAAAAGTTTAGCAAAAGAAGGAAATTAAGCAAAAGTCAGCCAATGTACTTGCCTTGCTTTTTAAAAATACTACCTTTAAATACATGGTTGCACACAGAAGGTTCTGAAGCCGTACTCACACTGTATGTCTATGTTCTGGATCCCTAAGAACATCCAATTTAAAGGTCAGGCTGTCCCTAGAGAAGTCCCCAGAGGGAACTGATTCCATCACAGCACGGGCCTAAGAATGAGGCATTCTTTCTCTAGTTCAAAGGACACTTTATTTCCATGTGACATTTCCATAACCTCATGATGACTCCTTGGTGTTCTACAGTGTGTTCAGATTGAGACGTTCTTATATGGATCGCAGGACAAGAGGACCCTGGCCACCCAGCAGACCATAGACACACTGTCCAAGTGAGTCAGCTTCCCTTACGTTTTCTCTGAATAGCATACCCTTCGCCAGTTGGAACCTGAGGCTGGTACTGGAAGGTTCTCAATGGCTTTCCATGGCTTATATAGTTAAATGTAAGAATAGGTCCCCTGAGAAGCCAGCTATAAAACATATGTCTTGCCCTAATATTAGAAAGGAATTCACTCTTGAAGAATGTTGAAAAACACTCTGGCTTCCATCCTCACACAGACCAGCCCCTGCAGGTTTACGTGCCTGCTGGAGAAGATGGAGAGGCTCTGCCCTGGGCTTACCTCAGCTCCTGGTGGGCCGGGGGTTGCAGGGAGTGTCGGAACTATAGCTTGAAGACTGGTCCTATGTCTTTTCTCATCAGAGAGAGAAGCTTGACACTACCTGGGAGGGCCCCCCATTTCACAGAGCAGGTATTCCCTGAGAGCCCATGGGCTGAGGGTCAAGTCCAAGTCAGGAAATTACAGAAGTGGCTTCATTGGAGGCACAGGCCAGCCAGAAAGGGTACCATCCCCCATTAGGGTGGCGTAGGCGGGCCAACAAAGCCTCCACCAGAACTTGACAGCCTGCCCCACTTTTGCCCCCACCACTGGCCTACCTCGGACCTGACTGCCTCAGCTCGGTGAAGCTGGCTGCAAGGCCCTAAAAGAGAAGAAACACACCTCTGTGTGGATGCTGCTGTGCCATGATTCTCCCTCACCTGCATCCCTTCCTGAGGCTCCTTCACAGCAGCTAAGGCTGATGGGAACCGTGCTGATCTGAGGGGCCATGCTCACCCGTCTTCTCTCTCTCTCTCTCTCTCTCTCTACAGGATCTCTGAGGCTGCCCCCAAGCCAAGGCAAACCCTGAAAGCCAAGGCAGCATTCTGCACCAGTGTTCCTCAGTACACTGTGCCGGGGAAGGCCAGGCACAGTGTGGCAGACTGATTCCACCCCACCCCGCCCCCGCCGCCACAATGTGCCCCAAAGAAAGCTTTCAGAAAGACTTGGCACTGCCTTTAGGATGCTCTCCAACTAGAAGGTGGAATTTATCAGTCACTGCAGATTTTTAAGGCTGTTTGCTCTAGCATGCCACAGCCGTACCATGAATCGTCCGCGTCTCCACTGTGGACGGACGGCCTTCAGGGTGATCTGGTGCCTTGGTTATTTTTATTTGTATCACTTTGGTTGTTTCTCTCACCAAGGAGAATTTCCTGTCATCTCTCCTGTGCCTGACTGCTCCAGAGGTGGGGCTTCCCTGCAGGAGAGAGACTGCCGCTGATGGCAGGCAGAACCGCCCCTGGAGCAGGGAGACTGCACACAGCCTTCCTTGTAGGAAACTAATAGGAACTGAGAAGAAAGACCAATAAAGAGAAACTTTTATTCTTTGTCGCTTGTCTGCTTCAAAATGAAGACTGGGGCTGGCCACGCGGCTCTGAGACAGGGTGCCTGCCTGGGTGCCACGAAGCCTGTCAGGGTTTGAAAGCAGAAGGCCCCTCGTAGACTCATGGGTGTGAATGCTTGCTCCCCACTGCTGGGAGGCCTCGAGGTAGGGGTCTGTTTGGATGAAGTGGGTCCCTGGAGGAGGGCCTTGAGGTTTCTTAACCTGAGTCCCACTTCCTGTCTACCCTCTGCTTCCTGACTGCAGACTCAGAGTGACTAGCTGCCTGGTGCTTCCACCACGCTGCCTGCCTTCCCCACCATAGTGTGTATGTGTATACAGACATGAGCGTGAGCTACACACACACACACACACACACACACACACACACACACACACCTTCCATCTAAAAGCCAAAACAAACCCTTTTGCACTTTGTTGGCTGTTTGATTGTAGCAATGAGAAAAATAACATGGAAGACGGGCATTGGGAGCAGGTCCACTGCTGTGGTAGGCCGACTGTCATTTTGGGGCATTAGGAATTGATTTGCAGGAAGGATATGGAAAAGTTTGGAAATATAGGTGAAAGCCCCTAAAATGCCGAAAGCAGATCTTAATGGGCCACCCTGGTGGGATCCTAGAAGAGCAGAATGTTGGTATAAATCCTGACAATGGAGGAGAATAAGGACCTGGGCTATCGGCCATTTGTTCTACGTCATAGCAAAGAGTGTGCATTCTGCCCGTGTTCCATGAACTCAGATAATCCTAAATGTAAAGGAATGGGCTCGTGTTCGGTGGGTGAAACTCTTAGATAAGCTGGCATTGGGGTGTGATGTGGTCACTGCTCACTCTTCTTCTCCAGAGAGGGAGACAGGTGGAGCCAAAGACATAGAGGACGTGGCACTTGGTGGGGAAAGGGTGAATTTAAACTTGGAAAGAAGGTAGGTACAAAAGCAGCTTGGTTGTTAAAAGAATTAGCTGTCCCTTTAAGGAGAAATCTAGCGTTCTGCACTGGGCCAAAGGCAAGCTGTCCTGAGGTCAGAACCACACCCAGTAAGGGTTCCAGTTCTGGAAAATGAAAACATATTTGAAAGGTGCTGAGTAAGACTTGATGGAGAAATCAGGGGTCCCTGCTTGGAATGAGGCCTGTGCAGCTGTGGTCCAAGGGGCCATCGTACATCCCCAGGTGGAAGCAGACGGTGACAGCCATTATGCACACGGTACTGGTTTTAAAGATGCAACGCGTGAGGGAGGGGGTCATGGGAGATCACGTCGAGGTTCTGAAAAGCACTGGGGCCACTGTGGGAAGCTGCGGCAGTGACGCCCAAATTGGAAAGGAGACCTCAAGATGTCGGGGATGCCAGGACCACACGTGCCATGCTGGCCGATGGAGTCTGCAGCAGAGTCATATGAGGGGCTATGTGTGCTTCAGGTTGCAGAACTGTAGGGCAGGTACACCCGAGCTCTTCGGAGCCCAGATGTTCCGCTGTGAGCCTCAGGTGCACAGAGCTAAAGGGTTTGGTTTTTACCCTGCCGGGTTTTGATCTTGCTTTGGCCTGATCTTCCCTTGTGATGGTCCGATTCCTCCCTTTTGGAATGGGGAAACTCACTCTGTGCAATCAAAGTTGGAAGTATGAATTCCTTGTTGGACTGAATGCATTTTGCATTAGGAGATGGCCATGGGCCCACGGAGGCAGGGACAAAATGCTGGGGCTTGAATGTGAAATGTTCCCCTACAAAGTCATGTGTTTGAACATTTTGTCCCAGGTTTGGGTGGGTCTTAAAGTGATGGATGCCTGGCTAGAGGAAGTGGGTCAGGGAGGTGGGCCTTGAGGTGGTGGATGCCTGGCTAGAGAAAGTGAGTCAGGGAGGTGGACCTTGAGGTTTCTTAGCCCCACCCCCACCCTGTCTACTCTTGGCTCCCTGAATGTGGATACAGTGTAACCAGCCACCTCATATTCCCGCCGCCCTGCCTTCACCGCTGGGATGGGCTGGATCCCCTCACACCGTAAGCCAAAAGAAGCCCTTCTTTCTGGTTTCCTGTCACGTATTTGGTCACAGTTTGACCTCCAGAACTGCAAACAAATAAAATGAAGACCACTCCAAGGGTCACCGGAAGCCTGAGAAGACGTGTTGGTGAAGGTGCATCTCTGTTAATGAACTCAGTTATGTATTTCTGAGCACCTACTCAGAAATTAGGCCTGTGTGAAAAACTGAGGCTAACGCAGTAAACATGACACACACAGTCCCATCCCCTCGAGCCTGTAACCCAATGTGTCGCTTGATACACATTAGTGCAATCAGTAAATGGCAGTGTAGCAGTCATGACAGATGAGACCCTGGACGAGGGTTCAGGGGTGCTGGGTGTTGGTGCTGAGACCCTCGTGGAGTGACTTGGGAGAAGAACACGGATTCTCTACTTCCTGTGTCTCCTGTGGTCGCTGACCTAGGCAGGACAGGCAGCTGCTTCCAGAGCTTACACAGTCTCCAATGCCATGTCCACAGTGGCCTTCATTCTCTCCAGGGGACACCACAGTTGGGCGAGGGTGACAAAGTTAAGCAGGAAGTTTGAGCCCCTTTCTCGGGGCTGCTGGGGACAAGGTAGATAGAACACCCCCAGGGTGGAGTGCTGGTCCCCGCAGGTTGTCCCTGCCTCCCCCTTTCCCTTATACCCTGGCTCAAGCCAGGGAGGCTGCGGGCCATTGCTGAGAGGGCAGTAAGACTGGAGCACAACCGTTTCGTGTCCTGTCTATCTGTTCAGAGCGACACTTCAGGAAACAGCCATGACAGGGTGGCGGCGGCGGTGGGGCCCTCTGTCTTCCTCAGGAGTGTAACAGCTCGGCAGGCAGACCATCCTTGCTAGCACCCATTTTCCCAGACTCGGGCCTATGGGACGGCAGCAAGGCACAAAATTATTTGTGGCCACTGTCCAGTGTCCTATCTAACTGAAGACGTGTGTTTCAACGCAGCTAGTGGGGAAAGCATTTTAAAAACAGAGGCTGCCATAGGCTTCCTTGTCCCTGCAATTGTACGTCTGAAGCCTCAGCCCCCAAGTCATGACACCTGGAGGCAGACTGTGGAGGCGGGGTGGGGGTGCTGGTCGGTAGGATCAATGTCCTCATAAAGAAGAGAAGCCAGAGAAACCATCTCTCTCCCTACTCCATGCAGACAGCTGGAAGGTGGCGGTCTCCAAGTCAGGAAGCGAGCACTTACCTACCAGGAGCAAATCCAGGAGCATCTTTGGCTTGTATTCTTAGATCTGCAGAACTCGGGGATAACCGTGTGTTGCTGAAGCCATGCAGCAGCACACCCAAAGACACGTGGTGCCTCGTCTCTCACCTTATCCTTTCTGAATTTCTCGGAATATATTTTAGAATCACAGAAAACAAACTCCTCCTTAGATGTGAGCCCCTGCCTCAGGAAGAGTGAATTTACCCCTGTAAACTGTGAGGTGCCCGTTCGTTTGTTACTTCTTATGTTTTGTTTTGTTTTTGTCAATTTGGCACATGGTTGGGGAGGTCATCTGGAAGAGGGAATCCCAGCTGAGAAAAGGTCTCCAGGAGTTGATCTGCAGGCATGTCTGTGGGGCATTTCCTTGATTAACAATGGATGTGGGTGGTGCCATCCCAGGGCTGGTGGTCCAGTGTTGTATAAGAGAGCAGGCTGAGCAAGCCATGGAGAGCAAGCCAGTCAGCAGCACCCCTCCATGGCCTCTGCTTCAGCTCCTGCCTCCAGGTGCCTGCCCTGCTTGAGTTCCTGCCCTGGCTTCCCTCAATGATGGACTAGGATCTGTGCAGGGAAGTCAAATACATCTTTTCCTCACCGGGTTGTTTGGGTCATTGATTTTATCGCAACAACAGGAAAGTAACTAATACTGTGAGTCTTATCAATGTCTCCCACGGGTGCTGTTAGCTCCCACAAGTGAGAAGAAATACAACCATTCGTGTTTTTAGTTTTGTTGATAAAAGGCTAGATTACAGACAGACAACGGTCACCCTCTCCTTTGTTTTAAGCCACTAGGTTTTTGTTTGTTTTTGTTTTGCAAGATACTAAGAAGGGACCATGAGTCCCATGTGCTTTGAGCAACCATCTGTCCCGCTCCCACCTGAGACAAGGCTGGTTTTTAGCACTGGGTAACTGTACCTTGGCACCCTCCTGGTACAGTTGGCACCCTCCTCCACCCTGGGCAGAATGGATGGCTGTCTCATCCTGCTGCCAGGTCTTCCAGGCTGCGATGACATGTTAGCACCACCTGTCAGGTCGCCACCTGGACACAAGCTAGTTAGTGCATGCTTCCTAGTTTGTACCTATAGCACGGAGTTCTGATCCCAGGAGGAATCGGAGAACTGGAAGTTTCCAATCGTGACCTTTCCAATAATTCAGGGCTACCATCGAAATATGGACAGAAACCCAGGTTGACTTTCATTGGAGTCTGAAAGAACCACACGGAAAACCGGCCGGAAAACATTCATTCTTGTTAGGAACAATGCAGATTTTTTTTCCCCTCAGATCTTTATTTCTACACATTCTTGTGACAGTTCCCTTTGTAGGGAACAGGTTAGCAAAATAAGCTTCTCAGATAATTCTAAATAAACACTTTAAACAAACTATCAAAACAACCGGTGGAAAGCCCAGAAACATTCAGCGTCTTGTAGTCTCAACAATAACAGACTGGGAGAGACAGGGTGTATCCCCACCCTCCCTGCCCTACCACAGTGTTGATCTGACTCCAGAGTGACTGCTTTCAAAAACCTCAGGGAGCTTTGGGGTGGCGTGCTACAATGTCACAGAGAAGATCCCTGCCCTTGTGACCTAGTAAGCAATGACAGCCGAGGACCCCTCCGTTCCAGTTAACACTTCAAACAGAACACTGCCTTGCTGCGCATTCCAGCTTAGCGATGAAAATTAATATTTAATACGAAGACATCTGTTTTTTCAGAACAAGTAGAGGTGGCCGTGATATTTATAACCTGTTCATCCTAGTGTCCATGTGTAAGTTCATGGACTA